CATGGCATATTTATATGTATATATATACATTATATACACACACTCAATTCTTTTGCCATTGCGCCCCTTGGCATCCGCTGCGGGTAAACTAGCTCACGTCGAGCTCCGAGCTCCGTATCGCTCTCTGGCCGGCGCCCTCTAAACACGTTTATTAAATTAAAAATTAATTTGGAAAAAAACAAACAGAGTTATGCAATGTGTAGCGGCGGCTGGCTGCATAAGAAGCTAATACTTACTAATGCTGCTTCATTTGATTCAATTACCGGAAGCATTCACCCAGCTGCGAATCACTTCTCGCCGGGCAGCTTCTGGCTGCTGGCTCCGGCAGATGTTACGGATGCTGTTGCCACGGATGCTGCCGCTGCTTCAGATGCTGTGTTTATCTTGTGCGAGGGAACTTGTTGTAATTACCAAGACCAAGACAAATAGAAAATGGCGCAAAAACGAGAAATTAATCAGCGACGCGCTCACGATGGAGGCGTGTGAATGGTGTGCGTGGGCGTGGGCGTGTCCGCACTGATTTGATGGAACTGGACGTAATGTGAAGCGCTTGGTAAATATATGTGTAGGGCTGTGCAGGAATGGCCAGGATGTGACTGGCCTGGACAGCTCTGGCCTCGTCTGGTGTCCAGTGGTGTGTTTGCCCAGTTTGATGATGGCCATGACGGCATTTTCACACGCGCACACGCTGCCGCATTATAATTTTAAAAAGTACCCCAGCCCACCACCACCACCATCCCCGCCATCCCGGCCATCCTGGCCAGAGTTGGAGTCGTAGCCGGGCCCGTTGGGCCGCCCGTTGCGGCACATTTGTTCGCCGGCATGTGAAAATTGATTGCTGTTGTTCATAGCTGCGGGATATGGCCAAAGTTTTTAAGTTCCTCAAGCCGCGCCGCAACCCGCGCTGCGCTGCGCTGTGCTCGGCGCTGCCTTGCCGTCTCCTGCTCCCAGTTGCCCAGTTCCGTTCTGAATTTACCCACTTGTTGTTGTTGTTTTTGCTGCCGAAAAGCTGAAAACAATGCGCATTCCGCTTGCGGCTCTGCTGCGCCTTGAATGAACGTATTTTTTTGTTATTTTTATTTTTGTATTATTAAGAAAGTTTTATATAGTATAAGCACTTTTTTTTCATACCATGCTGCTGGTCTTTACTTGGGGTTGGAGTATATTTACATTTGGCAGTTGGTTGCGTTAAGCGGCTTGCGTTGCCATAGAGCCACGCCCCGCCGCCGCCCAGCTGCCACTTCCTGTCTCTCTCTGTCTCTCTCGTTCTCCCGTTGGGCTGGTCAAAAAACTGCTGCCGCTGAAAAATTCTTAATACTCTGTTACCTTGCAGACAATTTGATGGGCCAATGGGCAGACCAAGTGTGTGTGTGTGTGTGTCTGTGTGTGTGTGTGTGGGACTGTGTATTCATAATTAAAGAAAAGACACCGAAACATGAAAACAAAAGAATGAAAAGCAAATAAAAGCGGATAACTGTTGGCATGACACCTATTAAAGCACCGACCGTGGGAGCTGGCAACGCCAATTCGAAATGCATTCGAGTGGGCGTGTTACAAATTATTAAAAGAAAACAACAACAACGAAAACAAAAAACTGAATAATATATAAAATGGGAGCTGTTTTAGTGGAAGAACTTCAGTGTTTGGAAATAGAAATTAATTGGACGGGAATACTTGAAGCTATGAGAATAGAAGAGAAACTAATACTGCCCTGCCAGAAAGGGAAAGAGATAGTGAAGGCATTTGAAATAAATATATGTGTGGGAGATAGTTTAGTGATGGAGAGAGTATGCAGAGAGAGAGAGAGAGAGAGAGAGAGAGAGAGAGAGAGAGAGAGAGAGAG